GGGCATTGAGACCGGTCATGAATGAGTGTGTGCGCGACACGCATGTGGAGAGAGAGATTTTTAGCAATACCAAACAACTCTAACACTCACACGTCATTTGGGGCCTGGAGCCCTTTGTTTGTTCGCATGTTGCGAGCAGCGTGGCTGGTTGGCTGGTCCCGCACTTCGCGCACTCGGGCCCGGAAACAGTTGGTTGGTTGGTGTGGCCTTTTGCGCAGTGTGCGTGAAGTGGGTGGCAGCTTGGTAAAACCCTCGGGTGCTGGCACATATCTAGGTAGCGCTGCGTTTTCTCACAGAAGCCGTTTTTGCGGCGCGCCGTCCTCCCATCCCTCCCTTGTGCTGTCTGTTTTATTTTTATTTTTCCGGGACGAATTTTACGGACAAAACTTACTGGGCACGGGACGTCGCGGGGAGCGGGCGATAACGCCCGCCCCCACGGTGGCGAGTCCAGGCGCGGCCGCCAGGCTCGGGCCTCTGGGCGCTATTCTGCACTCGTTATGGGAATGAAGATACGAACACCCCGACGGATCCCCAATTGGGCCAATTGGGCTGATTGGACGTAATAGTCTCACGCCCGTCTACTGGTGTGAATGGTGGGGTGACACTAATGGTGACGCCGTGTGGACGGCAGCATGGCGCGGGCAGCGACGCCCCCCCCCGATTGAGAGCAGCGGGGGTGATCGAAAGCGGAATCCTGCCTGCACGCGCGAAGCCAATATATGCGGTGGCAGCATCTCGAGCGGATGCGCCTCGAGAGCGTGGCCGAGCAGGGTGTCGAGAGCGGAGCGTCGTTCGCCCATCAATCTGTCTGCGTGCGCGCCTGCCCCCCCCTGATTGGTAGATGTCGGAGGCAGTTTGGCGGTTGATGGTGCGGAAGGCGACGTCGTAGGGAGCGACGCTGTAGCCCCTGTCGTGGGAGGCGGCGTCGGCGATGGAGCCGACGGAACAGCCGCTGACGGAGGAGGCGGCGTCGGTGACGGGGCCGACGGAATAGCCGCTGACGGAGGAGGCGGCGTCGGCGACGGGGCCGACGGAATAGCCGCTGACGGAGGAGGCGGCGTCGGCGACGGGGCCGACGGAATAGCCGCTGACGGAGGAGGCGGCGTCGGCGACGGAGCCGACGGAAGAGCCGCTGACGGAGGAGGCGGCGTCGGCGACGGAGCCGACGGAATAGCCGCTGACGGAGGAGGCGGCGTCGGCGACGGAGCCGACGGAAGAGCCGCTGACGGAGGAGGCGGCGTCGGCGACGGAGCCGACGGAACAGCCGCTGACGGAGGAGGCGGCGTCGGCGACGGAGCCGACGGAAGAGCCGCTGACGGAGGAGGCGGCGTCGGCGACGGAGCCGACGGAAGAGCCGCTGACGGAGGAGGCGGCGTCGGCGACGGAGCCGACGGAATAGCCGCTGACGGAGGAGGCGGCGTCGGCGACGGAGCCGACGGAACAGCCGCTGACGGAGGCGGCGGCGTCGGCGACGGAGCCGACGGAACAGCCGCTGACGGAGGAGGCGGCGTCGGCGACGGAGCCGACGGAACAGCCGCTGACGGAGGAGGCGGCGTCGGCGACGGACTTGCCGACGTGGCCGATGAATGTGTCGTTGCTCCCTGGGTGCTGGCAGTCGCTCCCTAGGGTCTGCGCTCGCACTACTGCAGGGATATGAATGGCAACGACATCGGCGGTGTATGCGTCGGCAATGGCCTCTTGGGCGCCGGCCTCGGCGAGATCCTCGGCCTCTGGGATGGCGGCGGCCTCGGCGGGAGCCTCGGCCTTTGGGACGCCGGCCTCGGCGGGAGCCTCGGCCTCTGGGACGGCGGCGGCCTCGGGGGCAGCCCTCGCCTTTGAGACGGCCTCGGCGGGAGCCTCGGCCTCTGGGGCGGCGGCGGCCTCGGCGGCAGCCTCGGCCTTTGGGACGGCGGCGGCCTTCGGGGGCTAGCCTCGGCCTTTTGGGACGCCGGGCTTCGGCCGGGAGCCTTCGGCCCTCCTGGAATGGGCGGGCGGCCCTTCGGCGGGGAAGCCCTCGCGGCCTCTTGGAAATGGCGGGGGGGGCCTTCCGG